AGGAAAAGGAAGTTATCACTTTGACAGGAATACACTACTCTTGTACTTTAAAGTGCACCTAAACCCAAAACATTTTTATCGCTTAACGAAATAAGCGTATCTTTTGGAGTATTTCTGTGCAAAAATTTTTTTATTTGCTCAAATCTTCAATTTTCTGTACCCAGTCAAAATACGGAAAATCGGCCGCCATCTTGCCCCACGACCGAGTTTAAAGAGGAATGGCTCTAGCAGGTAATGTGACGTCAAATCGAGGACAAGAAAGTCTGCATTTCACACATTTTTACTTGTTTGGGAAGGTTGTAGTCAATATTGTCCGAAAATATGCCGACTAAGTGTGTTGTAGAAGGATGTAGCAACGTGCGAAATTTGCAAGAGTGTATCGCGCTTCATACATTCCTCATACAACACACCTAGTCGGCATATTTCGGACAATATCGACGACAACCTTCCCAAACAAGTGCAAATGTGTGAAATGCAGACTTTCGTGTTCTCGATTTGACGTCACATTACCCGCTAGAGCCATTCCTCTTTAAACTCGGTCGTGGGGCAAGATGGCGGCCGATTTTCCGTATTTTGACTGGGCACAGAAAATTAAAGATTTGAGCAAATTAAAAAATTTTTGCACAGAAGTACTCCAAATAATAAGTTTATTTCGTTAAGCGAAAAAAAATGTTTGGGTTTAGGTGCACTTTAACGCCTTAGGCTTGGTCTACTAGAAAGGGATTTGGCAGACAGATTTAGTGTGTCTGTTACTACAGTGTCTGATATTTTTATAACCTGGATTAAATTAGTGATAATAATTTCATCACGAAAAAAGTGTCTGGGGATCTAGGGTCAATTAAACGTCTGACGAGAAAAAAACACCCGTGCGAATTATACTTCCTTTTAAGGACCAAACATCAGCAAATGCCGTACGAAGGTGCAACTTCCGTACAACTTGGTGACCTAAGCCGAAAAATTGGAACTGACATTTCCCCTGTGTACACTAACAGAGAGATCGGATATGAGCCGTGAAAACCAACGGAAAAGAAGCCCAACATCATTAATCAGCAGCGCATTGTGTATTATTTCAAGTGTGGTCTGTGCGATGCAGACTATGTCGGCTACACATGCCGGCACCTCTACCAACGTGCTGAAGAACACAAAGCGTCTCAGTCTTCAATCGGGAACCACATCAAAGAACGGCATGGGCATACCCCAAATGACTTGCATCACGGTTTCAAAATCCTGAAGAAATGCAAAAGTAAACTGGACTGCCTAATTTACGAGATGCTTTTTATAAAAGAAATTAAGCCAAGCTTGAACAAACAGTCGGACTCAATCCGTGCAAAGCTATTTTTTTAATAATTTACGGTATCTTCGTATAATTTATAGTTTTACTTTCGTCAACTCTCATATTAATTTATTCGTATTGTCTCCTTTGTAATATTATCACTTCCATTTTACGCCTAGTGTTTACATATTTCCATATTTTATCGCTTTTATCATTCCCACGTCTTGAATTTAGTACATTTCATCAGCTTGAAAATGACCTCAGCGAGGTCGAAACGTCGCACAAATTTGAACTGAATCAAACAGGCGCTTTTTGACACGCTCAGCTTTTTGTGCAATGTCATTTAGTGACATTGGTCCATTTTTCACAGGTGAATGTAAATTCCATAGATGTTCATCTGGATCACTCATTAATGTGGTTGTGCTTGAGCTTTCACTACATTGATTTTGTGGGAGGTCATGGGGGAGGATGTAACTTAATCCCATTCTTTTACCAGTTATTTTTTCAACTTCCTTAACTTTCTCATAAAACAGTTTTTGACTCTCATTGTTGAGATTTCTTTGATGTGGGGCTCTAACATCAAGAGCCTCTCTTTCCCTATGTTTAACTTCTTTTCCATACTCATGTTTTTCAAAGTGAATAGACTGAATTGGTTAAGGCTCTACTTTGCGTTTCCTACTAGGGATATTCCATGTGCAAAGTTGAGATGTACATGGTGAGTTGTGCGAGTCATTCTCTTCAGTGTTTACATTATTTCGCATTGTAAATTGGTGTTCCGTGGCAAATAAAGTGGCAGCTAGGTGGTTACACCTTCCGTCTATCCCTGCTGGGCATCCACACATTGCTTTAAGGACATCTCCGGGCCATTTGGTTTTATTATTATGTGAACAGTGTAAATTTTTTTCTTGGTCATTGATGGCATAACTTTACTTTTCACATAATGTTTGTTATTGTTCTCCATTGAAAATAATTGCAGAACATGACCAGATTTAAAAAAGGTATACCCCTTGACAATGGGCTTTTTAGTACCTGTTTCTTATCCTCGACGTCCTCAATAAGGTATTTCTAGATATTACTGTATGTAATCATTGGGACACCTGCAATCTCACCACTAAATCCTAAGGTAGGAACGTTTTCATGGACCTCTGGGTCTATTTCCTCCGCAAGGCCAAGACTTAGCCGCTTTTTAGCAATGTTTACTCCCCCATCAGGGTCAACAAGGTCTTTATCGGGTCCATGGAAAATAAAGGGAAAAAAGCGAATTTAAAAGGCAAATTCAGCACGATTTTGTCGAAATTTACTTGATCTCGGCTTTCTACATTGCCCAATCATATTCTGCTAATGATCTGTCGAGAATTTCCATTCAAGAGGTTTAAAGATAACTAAACAAACTGTTGACATCAAGCTAAAATACCTTATCACAAGTTCTTCTCTTTTGCCACCAACTTTCGCTCCACGGCAGCTTAACCATCGCTTTAGAACGTTAATGGTACATTGCTCAACAGGTGTATTTAGTTTTGCGCCTGGAATATCATCTTCGTTTAGTAACAGGCTCGTAATATTATCTTTTTCTACCGATAACTCTGTCATGATTAAAATTCGCGGGCTATTCCAGCGTCTCCAAAAACAGCCCCAGGGTGCTTCGCGTTTTAAATTTCGACCCAGTCTCCCGTTGAATTCCGGAAAGGGCAATAATTGCGTAGCCATCGTACTCGATTCATCGGCCCTTCTCTTTCCTGCCACATCACCGAGCATTCTCCAGTCTTTTAAAATGAGTGGAATGATCTATAATCATTTCAAAATAGGTAGGTAAATAGCCGAGTAAATACTTAAATGATAACCAGACAAGAGATATATAATTTCAATTTCCTGAGAAAACGCTACTCTAAAGTTATGACACATGAAATCAATCTTCTACAAAGGAAGGAAAAACGACATCATCGGATGAGTCCGTCATGTTTTGGTATTTTACGATGCATGGAAAAACAAATTCGGTCCCTGATTAAAACATTGCAATTTCCAAAAGTTGCAAACTAAGAGAGAAGTCTTCTCATTGTTTAAATGTTGGCTGAATTAGACTAACAAGTCTTACAATTGCCTGCACCTCATTCAATCAATGATCAGGAATTAATGAGGAAGTGAACCTTAATAACTCTATCGAATAATAAAAAGAAAAAATGGCGTGAGTTTTGCTAGTACTCAAAAACGCGTACACAAGAAAGTAAATCTTTCCTAACGGCCAAAACTTACACTTAGCCTGTGAAGCAGCACAAGGTACTTAAGACGAACGTTTTCTAAGTTCAACTACGTGCCATTTAGAAGGGATCCTAAAATTAATAATCCAATGATTAAAAAATCAGTCTAAAATTAGTCTTGTTAATACCTTTTCCATTTCCATGTAACAACAAATACAACAATTGAGGTCAAACTACGAAATTAATGTAAGCCATATGGTGGAAAAAATGAAAAATCTGGAGGTTTTTCAATCGAAAGATGTTTCATTGAACTCTTGGAGTCAGTTAAGTTCCGATTAGTGTATAAAAGTATCCTCGATCTCCTTGGCCATTTCCCTTAGATCTTTGGCCTTCTCAGATCCTTTGTTTTGAACAAGATCGTGGATCGTGAAGCCCAGGTCTATGACATCCCACACTAAAAAGGCAGTGTCAAGAGCAAGAATCCAATCCGTCTGGGATTTTCCGAAAATTTTCCAACCTCCTTTCACCGTGTCATCAGCAGCTTGAGCTCCATTCTTTGCTAGACTCTGTGTTGAGGATTTTGCGCTAACTTGGGCTGCATCATCAGCAACTTGAGCTCCATTCTTTGCCAGACTCTGTGTTGAGGTTTTTGCGCTAACTTGGGCTACATCATCAGCAACTTGAACTCCATTCTTTGCCAGACTCTGTGTTGAGGTTTTTGCGCTGACTTGGGCTACATCATGAGCAGCATAAGCAGCAGCTTGTGTTCCTGCTTTTGCTTCAGCACCACCTTGAACAGCGGCTTCCACTCCAGATTTCCACACCGCTCTTTCAAGAAAAGTTGCCGCCTCTCTTGCCACGTGGGGGATTCCCAAGGAGGAAATTATTAACTTACGAGGAATCTTCAAGACGTAAGGGTTAGCAACCTCATAGAGTTTACCGACGTGGTAAATATATATAAGCCGTACGCCCTCTTTCGCGGCTATCCAGCTATTGATCGTATTCTTCACCGCGTTGTAGCTGTCTTAGAACTCTTTTCCGACCTTTTTGGCCTCCTCGATATATGCGGAATGTTTGACAGTATCTATAAATGTGGATTTCATGATTAGGGCTGCTCCAACGACTCCAAAGCTTATGGCTGCGGCACTTCTAGTCCATAATCCTACAGCTCCTCCTACTATACACACCGTGGTTCCAGCGGCATTAACGGTTTTGCAATCAGACAGACAGACATCTATATTTAAACAGGATAGCCCCTTCAGTGTAGTAAACACTGGTATCAACGGGGGTCCTGTTACCCACCCATCCCACCCCAGGGGAGGACATCCATCACACAGTAATCTCGTGCGTGGGAAATTAACGTCTCCTGCCCCTAACCCTGCAGGAGACGGGACCTCCATTTATTCGTCCCTATCCGAGAAGACTAGAATATCTAACCATTTCTTGATGTTAAAGAAAGGAAGCATATTCTTCTCAGTTAATTTTAAGACCCTGAGTGTTGGTCCGGCCGGTATTGAACTCTCGACCTCCCGCACAGCAGTCCGGCGCTCTCCCAATTGAGCTAACCAGGCGGCGGTCCCATCATGCTTGATCAAGTTTGTTAGCTATTGCTCGGTACACCTTTACGACTTTTTTCGCATGGGATTGCATCTTTTCCGTCTTCTTTGTAAACTCTTTCAAATACACCCCATATTGCAGCTTCTCATCGTCAGAGGGAATAATAGGCGTCTCTAAGATATCGTCTACCACTCTTGCTCTTTCCTCCTTAAAAAAAGGAAGTAAAAAATTTTTAAGTAAATCTCAGTCGGTCACTTAAAACGACATGCAACTGTTAGTGACGTTTAATAGATCAAGATCAAGTGTACCGGGGGTTTACTTATTGTATTTTGTATGGGCAAGCACCGAGAGCCTTTGCAGTACAGATCGATGGACTAAAACTGAGAAAATATTGAATACACCTGCAATATAGCTCTCCTCCTTGAGGGTGTGTGAAGATCTTTTAAAATAATTAGGACATGTCCATCAAATATTTAACAATTATTCCACTCGCGCTTGTTGGATATGAGATGATAGATAGCCAACGAGGCGCTACGCGCCTCGTTGGCTATCTATCATCTCATATCCAACAAGCGCGAGTGGAATAATTGTTTTATTAAAAAAAAACGCCCCCAAGATATTAGACAAATGTTCTCGACTTTATTTTGCAAGAAGAAACCGATGTTACAATGTACAGATATTAGATTATGGTATATTGGCTCATATACCATAATGGCTAAGCCAATATGAAGTCTCGAATTGCATTATCCAATGATCCAATTTTTAATAATACCTGTTACGCGTTCTTGGCTTGCGAAATGACACACCCGGCCAAAAGCGTTACGTTAGACAGACACTTCTGCAACCGGCTTCCTATAGGTGGTTACCTTAGAAAAGGACTGAGTTTGATAATTTTTGCCTTTGATCTAATTGCTCCTAAATAGAACTCTGATTTTTGTTTGACAACACACGAACTCGATCTACCAGTAGTCTCCCCTGCAGTCGCTCTTTGGGGAGGGAGGGTCGCATTACATTCAAAAGAACGGCTGCGTGGAAGGCTTATAAAATAGTGCTGTGAAATGAGCACTTGCGCTTCACGAGTATCGTTGACTCAACATGTATTTTATGGAAGGGGGTTGGTTATATCAACCAAGTTGAAATTGTAAATTGGCCACCGTAACGAATAAAAAAGCTGACGTTTCGAGCGGTAGCCCTCTCGTCAGAGCGAAGGGCTAAAGCTCGAAACGTCAGCTTTTTTATTCGTTTCGGTGGCCAATTTACAATTTCAACTTAGTTGATATAACCAAATTACAATCTACCAGTAGTCTCCCTAGCAGTCGCTCTTTAGGAGGAGCGTCGCAAAAGAGCGTCCCAAAAGAACGGCTACGTAAAAAACTAATCTGATAGTGCCCCGAAATGGGTATTTCTATTACACAGTATTGGTAGCTCAACATATATTTTGAGAAGTGGAGGGGGGGGGGGAGTTCCTATCTGCATGCATGAGATGAGAATGATCCTTTTTTTTAACTGACTTGGGAAAAAATGTTTAATTTCAGGGCAACTTTCGTTCAATAGTTTTCTTTAATGCGACGTCACAGAAAGATAACTCAAGTCACACCCAGATTGGTTTCGTCCAGGGCTTAATGTTTCATTTTCTGGGAGCATCTATTCCCTTGCTATTAGGAGCCCCCCTTCCCAGAGGGACACAACTTATCTCCTCAATTACCATGTCCATGTTTGAGAAGTCCTGGCCATTAAAATCTGTCGCAAGAATTAATGTAATGCATAGGCTGTAAATGACGAGTCCAAAATATATCGATGGAATCTGGGTTCCCTTTGCCGCAAAGGACCGGGAGAAACAGTTGCTGTATCTCTCGACAAGGAATTTTAAGGGTTACTCTTCACATTAGAACATATTCTCTCTTGTGACTTTATACAGATCAAGAAATCTAAACGTTAGCTCATTTATTAGTGCTTGTTCGTCAGAAATATACACGAGATTACCCGTGGAATTGAAAACGGTCTTACGCAACTCTTACGGTCATGAACGTTTAAAATGGTGAAAAAAATCTATCAAACTTGCAATTCTGCAGATAAGCTGGAGATCATTATTAATACAATAATATTGTTTCACAATAAGGCATTCAACCCACCTGGTGGAAGGCATTCTTTGGGTAAAGGGTAAATATCCAGTACACCTTGCCCCTGAGTTTCTTAGGGGGATGTTCGGAGAAAATGTTTCGGCTCGGTACTATAGCGAAGAACAAACACAGGTATTAAATTGCCTCGCATGATTATCAATATTTGACTTTCGGGCTCGACAATCTCCTCGTCACTCATAACACTCCTTCATAACACTTCTCAGAGAATTGAAATTTTTAAAAATTTTGATGAAATATGATCAACCGAAATTTCTTTGATCGTGTGGTCTGATTGCACGAGTGACGGTAATACTAAGGAGGACTTTTGCTGATAGTAGTGACTGGCGTTTCGGTAATACATGGCTAGCGGAAGTTAGAATCAGTCTCGACTGAAGCGGCACGTCGACCTACTCAGAATCAAACGAGATCAGAACATATCTTTCTAGCATGAAGTCTTTCAAAAAGGAAGTCTTACAAGCAAAATTGTTTAATCCCCTATCTCTACCCGACAGCTATTTCAGCCCAGCGCGACGAAAGCGAAACCCTTTGCGATTGGTGTAAGTCTACTTAATATGGTGCGCATTTCCCGTTCCCCGTTCCTTATTGTCCATTCCTCATTAGCATTTTTCCATTCCTTGTTTTAAAAATAACTCTTATCCTCAGTACCGAGAACAAAGAAACTTTGCTCAAGTCCTGCAGTCATATCCCGCAAAGCGGAAGTGTCTGCTTTTCGTGCGTGGGTTGCACTGACAGACAGCTGACTATTTTTAGGATCATGTATTGAGCTGGGGAGGAAAAACCAATCGAAAAGTATAAGGCGAGGGTAAAAATCAATGAGGAGCATCGCTCCATGTCATTAGTTACGAAATATGTTATCAATTTTCGTGGAGAAAGAAGTTTGGAGTGGGATTATTTGACCCGAAACTACACCGCCTGGCAAAAGTCAGCGGAATAACAGAAAACTACGTATAATGATAGGATTTTAAGTTATCGAGTTTTCATGCTGGCGCTTAAAAATGTAAAAAAAAAAAAATTCAACCTAGAAATTGTGAGATCTTGCTAAGTTCAGCAAAGCGTAAATGCTACCAGTTCCTAGTCAGTCAGCCCTAAACAGTTGTTATTAGATCATAACTGTAATATTAATTAGTGTTAAACTGTAACCGTCACCTGCCATGGCCTTTTGTGTATTTGTTATCCAACAAAACTTTTCGAAAGTGATTAAATTATTCCCTAGCCAATCGTTGTGGCAGATTGCGTGATCCTTTAGATAACTCATAGCATTACCTAATATTTTGTACATTAGGCTTCAATAGAGCTGTTTTGTAGAGCTTTCTTTGGTCAACATCACCAGAAATCGGTGACATTTCGAGCCCGCGAGCTTGAGTCAGCGGTGTATAGCATTTCACTGAAATACAAGATGGCGGCCATTGCTACGCGATCTAAGCGATCAGTAAAGAATTTGTACGAGAGTAGCCTGAAGCCCCAAGAAACACCAGGGGATTTTGAAAACAAGAAACATGGCAGCGAAAATCACTTTCCTATCGACTTTTGCAGTGTTTTTTGATGAACACGTAAACAAGGAACACTTTAAAAGTGGCGGCATACCTTTTTAGATTGCAGGAACATGACGCTTCTTCATAGGCTATGCTAAAGTTGAGGTGCGGCGCCATATCAGACAGTAAATAAATGCAGCCATTTTCTTGATTCTAATTAAACGTAGAAACTCATTTTTTAATCGACGTCATCCTTGGCGTTGTCGTCCAAACTCCTCAAGGTTCCTAATGAGAGAAAGAAAGCGCACACACTCCGAAACGTTTGTAACGAATTCGTACTCCATGCTCTTCCATCAAGGTGACAATTAGAAAAATTCCAGTTCGAATAATTCAAAGATGTTTATTGCTTGACGCAGGAATATAGAAACTTTAAAACTTAAGTAGAAAAAAATAAAATTACCTCTTTGAAATCTCGCGTTGACTACGTCGCCTCTTTCAATTCAGTTTCTGTTGAGAGCTTCTGAAACACCCGATTGAACACCTGCTTGAAATGCTGCAAGCAAGCTGTTTTGATTGGTAGATTTTTAGAATTCATGGAAAATAAAAGCGGGGAATTCCCCTGACACAGGTCATAACCAAAACTGTGCAGGCCTGAGACTAGTAGAGTCGTCACGTGACTGTAAGGTTGTGTACGATCGAGTTAGTTGAGTTTTCCTGCCAAAATTGTTTTCCTGTTTGATCACAGCCGCACTCGTCCACGAAAACAGTTGCCACCTGTATGTAAATTCAACGAGCAAACATCAAGTCTATGTTTGCAGCATAAGAGAAGAGTGGGAGAACTTATCACAGTTACTCCATAGCTCCGTTAATAAAAATTAAAGTGAAAAAGCGTCGATAATTCTCAAACAATTCATAAGACGCAGATCTGCCGGTAATCTGTAGTCACTTACAAATAGTAGAGCTTAGGATCAATGAATTGAGCTGAAGCGACATGTGGGTTTTTTTCCGCAGTTATATTAGGATTAAGTTTCACTTAAAAGCCCCGTGCAGGTTTATTTTCAGCTGTTTGCTTGGTTTTGCTGTTTCACTTAAAGACGTAATTAGGACTTTTGATCGAGTAGACAACTAAATATAATTTGGCTGAAACAGCAAACTTAAAGGGGCACTAACATTCGACTTGAAACGTCAGCTTTGGAATCTAGTTAGCCAGTTCAAATTGTCAACTCGGTTGATAAAACCACATTATAAGGGCGAAATACTTCCTCGATTTCCATCGCCTTCAGTGCTTTGGTAAGTGATTCCCTTGGCGAGCGAGGAAAATATATGCACACTAGCTAGGGTGAAACTAATGAGATCTCTCTAAAGTTATTGCTCACCACCAGACAACCCGTTTTGATTGGTTCGTGTACTTTGTTTCGATGGAAACGAGAGAATTTCCATATCGTAAATGTTTTTTGTTTTAATCAGAGAAGGAAGACAACTTTGAAGTTATGGAGGATGTTTCGACGGGAGAATTCGTACCCTGCTTGAAGGGGGCGATGCGGCGTCATTACAAATATTTTTGTTTGCATAGGTCAGCTCTCTGCACCAAAAACCGTTGTTGTATTCTCCTGAATAAAGGGTGAAATCAAATCGTCGAGCTTTTCCCATCGGAGCTGTAATGATAAAATAATACTTATTCGCTGATAACCAACCCACTTATTCCAATGAGCATTGTACTGTGGTTAATTGCGTGCGCCTCACTCCTAGTGTTCCGTACAGTTCACTTACATCAATTTATTTTTTCACCAATTCTTTTGTCTCGCTCGACCGACTTCACCGAATAGGATTCGAGGGACTGCTCACGCTGGTTAGCTGCAGTTAGAAAAATACATTAATTGATTGTGTCACTTTTTTTTCCGGTGAATTTAGTAAATATTACTGATCAAAACAATAACAATTTCCTTGATTATAATTGGTTTAAAAATCTCCTATTTTTTTCAACACTAGCGGGAAATAGCTCGGTGTTGGTGTAAAGTTCAGAAAACAGCAACGAGGAAAAATTATCCTATGAAAGGAAAGCGAATTTATGAGCTGAAACTAAGCTGCCAACTGCGATGAGAAGCAATTTTCCAGGAAGATCACTAACACTTCTATTTACATTTTCTTTTCAAAGTAACTACAATGAAGGCAAGAAACAATGCAAAATGAATCAGTTGACCATCCAAAAACTATCGAGGCTTTTTCTAAATTTTTTGAACTACTTGAACGATAGAACTTGAATGAACTTGTATAAATCGGAAATGATCTACTATGAAATGTTGACGAGTAAATATGTTCCAAAACCCACAAAAAACCCTAACAGTAATATTTTATAATAAATGACCACAAAATAATATTTTGGCGATACTTTTAACAATGTGATAACAATTTCAATAGTACCAATTCTTTCATCATCATCTACATCTCAACTGTTCGAGTCAAAAAACGAAGAAAACTAGACTGCAGAAATCGAAAGATACAACTTGAACTGCGCGAATACACAATAGCAATTAAAAAGGGTCCATAAAATAAAACGTATAAATATTCCCGTAACAGGAAGGCATCCTAGAGCCAATAATTCAACACTGCCCTAAAAAAAAATCAGTTTAAAATGAAGAGTCTTATTGTTGACTCTTCCCTTGACATATAACAGCGGACAAAGTTGTTACCAAGCTTTTTCTTTTTTAAAAAATAAAACAAAATAGGTCAAACTACGAAATTAATATAATCCATATGGAGGAAATGAAAAAAAAAGATTGGTTTTCAGTTGTAAGGCACTTTTTTCATTTAACTGTTGGTGTCAGTTTGAATTGTTCCAATAACTCAAGTTTCGATTACAGTTTAAAAGCATCCTCGATCTCCTTGGCCTTTTCTCTTAGATCTTTCGCCGCTTCATGTCCTTTGTTTTGAACGAGATCCTTAATCGTGAAGCCCAGGTCTATGGCGTCCTTTACCAAAAGGGCAGTGTTTACGAAAACAATTATGTTCTCCGGGAGTCTTACTACTGTTTTAGAAGCTGCTTCCGCCAGATCATCAACAGTTTGTGCTCCACCCTTTGATGCTTCTTTTGTTGAGGTTTTTGCGCCGGTTTGAATTACGTCATCAGTTGCTTGTGTTCCTGCCTGAGCTGCTCCTCCAGCACCACCTTGAAAAGCGGTTTTCGCACCCAAATTAAACACTGCTTTTTCAAGAAGAGTTATCGTTCCTTTTTCCACGGAGGGGATCCCCATGGAGTAAAGAACCAATTCCCGTAAAATCATCAAAACCTGAGGGGAAGTCACTTTATGAGCTTTAGCAAGGCCATAAATGTACATCAGCCGTATGCTTTCTTTCTCGAGTGACCAATCACGGATCATTTTCCTCACGACGTTGTAGTTGTCTCCGGTCTCCTTCAAGAGCCTGTCGGCCTCCTCGATTTCCGCAGAATGACTGTCATATCTATACGTGGCCTCCATGTTTACTAGAGCTCCAGCAAGTCCAAAACTTATGGCTACTGCAACTCCAGTCATTAATGTTACAACTCCTCCTACAACACACGCAGTGGTTCCAGCGGCATAAGCCATCTTGTAGTCCCACCACGCTTGGTCAAGTCTATCAGCTATTGCTCGGAGTCTCCTGGCGGTTTTTTTCCCGTTGGAAGTCATCGCATCCGTCTCGTCTTTGAACTCTTCCCAATCTCTCCTGTACTGCAGCTTCTCATCCTCAGAGAGAATATTTATTTTCTCTAGGATTTCATCCATTACTCTTTCCTTTTCTTTCTACAAAACAAGAAGTCCGGATTCTTAAGAAAACAGCAGTCACTCACTTAGATCGGCTTGCAACTTAGATGTTACTGACGTAATATTGATAAAAAGTCACGCATACGTAAAGGGGATTACTTACTGTATTCAGATATGGGCGAGCAGAAAAGGCCTTTGTAGCAGAGATTGATAGACAAAAACGAGAAAATATTTAATAAACGGACATTTTCTATAGCTCTCCTCCTTGAAGGTGTGTGGAGATCTTAATATTTAAGACGTGTCTATCAGACTTTACCAGTTACATGTGCAATATACCTGACCAAAAGCGTGACTTCCATTGCACGAATGCTGGTAACTCAACATAAATTTAGAGGAGGGGAGGGGGGGGGGGGCTCCTATGTGCATGAGATGAGGATGTTCCCTCCTTTTTTTTTAACTGACTCAGGAAAAATGGCTAATTTCATGGAAAATATCATTCAATAATTTTCTTCAATGCAACTTTTATAGGCTCAGTAAGGTAACTCAAGTCACGCCCCTGAAATTGGCTTCATCTAGGGATTAACATTTCTTTTTCTGGGAGCATCTCTTCCGTTGCCATGTGGAGCTCCCCTTCCCAAAAGAGCGCAACGTATCTTTTCAATTACCATGTCCACGTTTGAGAAGCTCGGGTCTTTAAACTCCATCGCAACAATTGATGTAATGCATAAGGTGTAAACGACGATTCCAATAAAAATCGATGGAATCTGGTTCCCCTTCGCTGCAAAGGACCGGGAGCAACTGTATCTGTCGCGAAGAAAATTTTCAGGGTTATTTTTCATGTTAGTACATATTTTATCTGTTTGTCTCTTTGACTCAATCGTAGAGCATCGGAGCGTGGGATCTGAAGGTCTGAGGTTTGATTCCCTAAGGGGAATCTGAATCTTTTTCTTCATCCCATGCTTGCGACAAGACAAAAGATTCCTGTTTCTAATTTTTTACCTAACCCAAAACTAACCATCTTCCATATTCTATTTACAAAACTATGACCCTATCGACATTGCTGATCCTAGCAGTATGCAGGACGCGTGTCTTATACGAAGTTAGTAATGGGCTTTACTCACCATAGACTCGTGACACTGAAACGGAACGCATCTTTTCCTATTTCTTTACCGGATTATAAACTTACTATCTTTCTTACCCTATTTATATAATATTCTATCTAATAGCTTCCCACGGATCCAGAACCTCATGCATCAGTTCATTCACAAGTGCTCTTTATTCGGACAATACACACAATTTCTCGTGGGATTGAAAACCGTCTTACGCAACACTTCAAGTCACGAACGATAAGACTTTTGAAAAAAAAAAAATTACTCTCAACAAGGCAATCTGGTATGTAATACTGCAAGCAGTCAGCCGGCCTCATAGATTTTGCAATTTTATAGACAAGAGGACAATCATTATCATTACAGTAATAGTATTTCACAATATAAGACATTCAACTCACCTGGAAGAATGCATTCTTAAGGAAGAACACCAGTAGACCTAGCCCCTGAGTTTCCTTTAGGGATGTTCGGAGAAAATGTTTCGGCTCGGTACTGTAGTGAAGAACAAATAGAGATTATTTCATGGGAAAAGTGCATGGAGGATTCTAATTCACGAGTTGCGATGCATCAAAGAAAAGGATGAGTGGGCTCAGTGAGGTTTTTGATGCATGGCAACGATTGACTAAAAAGAGACAGTCAAAAACTGCATGCCGCTACTGGTATAGCACAATTTTTGTAGCAATGAAAGAACTCGCGGCTTTTATAATGTCAAGGCAGAGTTGCAGAATATTTGTCTCACATGAAAATTAAAACCTGCCACATACTACATTTCTGTGAGTACATACTAAGGAGTACCTTGTTCCACAAGAGAAAGAGATTATTAAAGTAAGCACGTGACACTTTCACTGAGGAACCAATAAGGGTTTCAGTAGCAGACAACAGCGTGATTGTTTTACCAGACAAGTTCATACTTGTTTTGGTTATATATTTGTGAAATAACTAATTGCTTAAATGATTAACTCCCTGCTGTAACCATTCCAAATATAAAAGCCAACTTTTCATTCGTCTCATTTGACATTCAAAGCAAGAGAGCAAATGAGATATTTGCAGAAGTTCACATGGTAATACTGAAATTCGAGAGAAAATGAAGATTCTGAATGTATGTAGGTAAGAAAAGGGAGCCATGTAGCGGAAAATTACGTTTTAGGAATTCGATTCTCGGAAACTTAAAAATTACTTAGGATTTTCTTGAGAGAAAATTCTCAAAGACTTAATTACATCTGTTACAAAATTACGATCTACACTCTGCTTTGAAAGCGAAATTTCGTATCACTGAGTGCATATTTTGTTACAAACCATACTACAATTTGAAGAATTGAGTAGGAACTTGTTGCCCTATTCACTTTCGCTTCAAGAAATGTCGTAGCGCACGGTAATGAAAAGTATGGATTTGGCTACTCGAAAAAGGAAACAAATATCGGTTTACATCTACACTTTCAAAAGCTCTCTGAATCTCCTTAGATTGATTTTTTTGGCATGGTGAAAGCTATCTAAAGGATATATCCTTCGCATTCACTGATAAGAAAACTTTCGACTTTAACCCGTGTTACGTTTCGTTTTTCATGTCAAATAACCCTTGATTTAGCTAGTTCAATTACGGCGAGCACTAAAACAATAAAAGGCATGGATTTGGCTACTCGAAAAAAGTAACAAATATCGGTTTACATCTACATTTTGATAGCTCCCCGTATCTCCTTAGATTGATTTTTTTGGCATGGTGAAAGCTATCTAAAAGATATCTCGTTAGCTTTCACTGATAAGAAAATGTGTGATGTTTACATGCTTACAAGAGTGACGTTGAAAATCTCTTGCTTAGTGGTTAAAAAGTGCCATATTCCTAAGCTGACCACCGAACTGTGAGCTGTCTATCACTGTCCGAGTTGGCCCATACGTTGTAAACGAAAGCTAGGCAGTGATATATTTTTTTAAGCGGGAAGCTTTTTCTCAGAACGAAAGTAACTCGCGGTACAACAATTTAGGCGCATCGTAACTCGCCTTTCAAGTTATAGGAAAAATGCAATCAGAATGATGTGGAAATGTTACGTTAGTGCTGAGAATTTCTTTCATCCGCCGCTCGACGGTGAAAGTCGTTCGACTTTAACTCATCTTACGCTTCGTTAGAGTGCCGTAGGTTATGAGTACAACGTACTCTCCGGACTATTTTTATTCATGTCAAATAATCACTAATTTAGCTAGTTCAGTTACGGCTAGTAGGTTAAGAAAAATTCGACCAACCTGGTGTTGAATTGTTTCCCCAGCTTAGAATTGTTGTTTACGAGAGCCCCTATGCGGAAGTACACTGATCAAAGTCTCCCGTAATATTACATAAGAGTAAGCACGTGATTCTCTCACCGGGGAACCAATGAGGATTTAGTAGCAGATATTAACATGATATTGACAGAACCAAAACAGGTTCAAACTTGTTTTGGTTCTGTATTTTTGGAATAACAAATTGCTTTTATGATTATCTGTCTGCTTTGACCATTCCAAATATAAAAAAAGCCAACATTTCCTTTGCGGCGTTTCACTCTTAAAAAACAGGAAGCAAAGCTATAGCAATATTTTCTATAGTTACTCTGAAATTCGAGAGGAAATAAAGGTTTTGGATTCATGTACGTAAGACAAGGGAGCCATAGAATGTAAATTACTTTTAGGAATTCGATTCTAGGAATCAACTCATTGAAGGTAAAAGTCTAGAAACAGGCAGAAGACTAGGTGACCGATTCCGAGAACACCTTCGCGACGTGGAGAGGAATGACAAGGACACATCCAAACCAGTCGCTAGACATTTTAATTTACCTAATCATTCTAAGCAACATATGGCAATCTGCGATCTTTCCTTGCACTTAGGAGGCACGGAAAGCCGTAAAACTCTTAAACAAAAGCTCATCTTTCAGATCGGTACTCTTAACCCCAGAGGTATCAACGAACGCTTTTCATTTCACTCATTTATTCTTGTTTTTCTTGTCACCATGTTTCTACCAATGGCATAGCTCCATTTTCTGCATATAACACACACACACACAAACCACGATTCCTCCATTCACTCTGACGAAGGGCTAACGCTCGAAACGTCAGCTTTTTACTTCCTTACGATCAATTTACTATTTAAACTTAGTTGAAATAACCAGAGTTAGCAGTAGTTAATGATGTGGAATCATTGAATATCAGTTCCTCCATTATGACCGACTTATACGAGAGTCTCATCAGTCAAAAACAATTTGACGCCAATCCGCATGAAAAAAGATTCAGTTGTTTATCTTCATTAAGAATTGATGTTTCGAGAGAAAGACCTTTGATATTTCATTCGGTCCTAAAACACTCAGCAAATCAATATTGATCCAATTTTCAGTGTGCTGCGTTTGCCGTAAAGAGATCTCCATGATATTTAAAATTGCAGAGCCGTTGTAC